TCTGACTTGCAGCATTGGGCCCCCCAAACTGTTGCACCTTTTCCCGAGCTCGCGAACGACCAATCCCGGGAGTTTAGTTGCTGATCCTCCGCTCCCTCTTACGAGCTCCGATATTTTCCAGATGGTATTCCCGAAGTAGTGGCTAGACTCCCTGCCTCCAAAAGGCGTAAACTCGATCTTGATACTCGTATGGCTGACATGGCCGCTTTGAATTGCCTGAAGGCCAAACGATCGGGAAAGTTCTTCACCCTGGAGCACCCGAGAAACTCCATCGCCAGAGATCTGGCATCCTGGAAGAAGTTGGAGTCGGAGGAGGGGGTGTGGGCCACGGAGTATCATGCATGTATGTTTAGGGGTGTGAGAGGAGGAAAGCGCAAGTCCTCATCCACATCCCCAATTTGGATAGTAGTTTGAACTTGACCTGTAAGAACAGCCGCGTTTGTACGCGTACTGGTAGACCACACCTTTCTTGGAAACCAAGGGTCGAGAAAGGAAGGGTCACGTCCTTTGCAACCGGCCTAGAGAGGGAGTACCCCAAGGGGTTTTGCGAAGCGTACCAGGATCAAGAAGCTCAGAGCTGAGCTCGCGGCTGAACAAGTGAGAGCCAACGCCTCAGCAGCATGGACAGCCCAGAGGCTCAATGTCAGACCTAACACCTGTCTCATGCAAAAGTTGCAAACCCTTTTGGGCATAGAGGGGATACAGACGTCCCGACACTTTGCCTCGAGGGAATGCGCATTACAGGGAAGGCGCACACATCACCTCTCTTCGAGCCTTTCGAAGTCAGGCTAACCATGTCACGTGATACCTTTCTCAATGGGCGTCACGAGCGCTCACTGGCCATGATCGAGAGAGTCCGATACATGGCCCAGAAGGGTCCCCCGGAGCTGGCGAAAGCCATCTGGGAGAAGACCCAGAGGGAAGTGGAGGCCGGAACAATGGGCCCGGCCCTTACGCTGGACCAAGCTCATGCCAGATATGGTGCAGTTGTCCAAGTCACTCCAAGTTTCGGCCTAGCACAAGGTACCAAATATCGTCGAATAGATGATCACAGCGCATCAGGTGTGAACCAAATGGCACATAGGTTGCAGAGGTACCAATGACCGTGGTCGATTACATTGGGGTCACGCTCAGGGCACTCGCGGCGCAGTCTTCATCCATTAAGCTGGCCTCAGAAGATATGAAATCAGCATACCGGCAGATAGCTTTGCACCCGGCTGACGTCCGCTTTGCAATCACGGCCGTATATGACCCAGACAGGGATACAGTTTCACTCCACGAGATGTATGGACAGCCATTCGGCGCCGGCCGCCGGACACTCAGTCCCCAATTTCTGCAGGGTCGCTGAGTGGATCTCTCGATGCTCAATCAGACTGTTTCACACCCTCTCCGATCACTTCTTCGACGGCTTCTTTTGCTTGGAACCAACTTCAACAGTCGAATCAGCTCTGTTCTGCATTAAAGCACTGTTCATGGATCTTGGCGTCCAGCTGGACTCAGACAAGTCCCAGCTCCCCTCACAAGCATGCGCCATCCTGGGCATTATGTTCTCCACCCACGGTCTAGCCGCAGAACGCCGAATTTTCCCGGAAGCCAAGCCCTCCAGAGTCACCAATCTATGCAACTCGATCCACCAGATCCTGGAGGAGGAACACCTTTCCGCGGCCACTGCAGCCAGTATAGTCGGCAAGTTTGGCTTCTTGCGTTCCACTTTATTCGGGAAAGTGGGAAGGTGCTGCACCGGCCCCCTACGGAAGCGGCAGTATTCTCAACACCGGTATCAGGGTCTGACCCCCGACCTTAAATGGTCTCTACATATGATGCTCGCCTTCCTCGACCATTGCCCTTCACGTGAACTTTTCCTTGTTGACCGCCCTTCCTTGGTTCTATAATACTATACACAGACGCCTCCGATGTGCCCGATCGTCAGCCACAAAGGCTGGTCGGAGCGGTTCTTTTCATCCCAGACACACGCCAATTGTTCTACTCGGCGCAGGAGGTTCCCCAAACCATGGTGCAGTCGTGGCGACCGAGAAAATCCTATTTGGGACAGCTCGAACTCGTCGCACCTCTTTGGGCATTAGACCTTTGGGCCCAACACATCTGTGAGCGCTCAATACTTATGTTCGTCGATAACGACAGTGCAGCCACCAATTTGGTGAAGGGTTATTCCCCTCAACCCGACAGTTCTCTCCTCGTCGGTTCCTTTTGGCTAACCGCTGCACATCATAAGCTCCACATTTACATCGACCATGTAGAGTCTAAGAGTAACTTGGCAGATGGTCCATCTCGTAATTCATTTGCACAAGTCATCGAGTTGGGAGGTACTTGGACACCGCCCAAGACTGGCACCTTGGGCGGGCCCGCCACGCGCACTGGAACACCGGGGAGAAGAACTAGAGAGAGGTGACACTCGATAACCACCCAACCAGCAGGGGGAGGTAGGGTTGGGTGTTTCTCTCTGGGTGAGATGTTTAGCACCAGGTTCCTCTGGGACTGCATGGGTCCTACCAGAGGAATTTCGATTGCTAGACAGGGTTGCGCCAGTTCCCTATCCCACAGGTGACTCGACTTTGGAGAGAAAAAGAGCTGTTCGGAGAGCGGCTAAGATATTTATATATATTCACATTATTTATATGCACATAGGTTACGTTCGTTGATATTGATGCAGATAATATTTTACATGCAGATGTTGCTCTAATCTATGTTGCTCTCCGTTAGGATTCAGGATCCCCGCAGATGTTTGTATGGCTTTTGGGTGGGTTCTGTCAGGCAGATGCGATGGTCAAGAAGCTGTGTGCTAGAGCATCTGCCAAAGAGCCAGCACCTTGAGGGATGAGGGATGAGTCCTCTTCCGCTACCTAAGGCGCCAAGTGCTCCCTCCTAGAGCAAGAAGCACGGTGCCAATAATGTGTGTTCCTTTCGGCGGATGCTCAGCATGACATGGACTGGCTATATCCGGATTTGAGGCTGCCGGCTTCACATGTGCGCACAGTTGCTTGATACTCCCCAACATGGACCCTCAAAACCACCGCGTCGTAGAGGAAAATGGTCAATGCTCAGGTTAATGGTTCCATGTTAGTTTGCAGGGGTAACCGGGTAACCTGAAATCTCCAAGCTGCCACCGCTGGTCATTCTGAGGTGGGACATGTGGGAGAATTCATGGACTGAGGATGCATGGAGCTTGGGGAGTTGTGCAGAAAGCCTGACTGCTAAGCTGTCCTATGCATGAGGTGGACTGTGGTAGACTTGCACTCATGCACTCTGCAAGTTCTGCTTGCATCCGCTTGGTGCCCTTTTTGGCTGAAGTGATTGATCGTCGCCAGATGGAGTCAGAAAGCAGATGGGCGAGGGTTCGACCCGAAAAGCCGCCAGCTGGCCCTAGTGGGCCATTCTACTACCGGCACTGGGGGTCGAACTATGGTGGAAAGCCAGCGGTGGGCATCGGCCATTTTGCCTTGTGGCGAAACCGCTTCTTAGAGGGCCCACCTAAGTCCCGGGCGCCGAAGAAAGGTGCTTCCAACCCAAAAGCCAAGCAAAAGCTCCTCTCCGACCGAGATCTACCAACACCGACGGTGGCTGGGGATTGGGATGAGGACCAGGCACCATGCGAATTTGAGACTCAAAGAAGATCGACACCTCGAGTTGAAGCCCCAGGCCGTCGCCCCAGCGAGCCACCCAGGCCACGTGCGTCTAGGCCATCCACCGGTGAGAAGCATGGTAGGCTGGGTGGGATCGTGCCAATCGACACCAGTGAACGACCTAGCTTCGGCTATGGCATCCCTGCAGTCTTGAAGCCTTTGCCACCCTGCGCCATTGCGACCGCAGCAGTGGAAATGGTGGACATTCCTCCTGAGGAACGCTTTCAAACAACATACAAAGAGTCCTTCCGTTTGATCCCTTTGACCGGGGGCTTTCAAACTCCAGAGTACTTCCCCATGCGTTTTGTTCCAGCTGCAAATCGCCATGTCAAAGAGATTGCCCTCAACGTGCTGGGAGCCCATGTGGCGAGAAAAGGTTGATCAACTTTGCTGGAGAACCGAGAAGGAAGGAGTGGTGCCAAGACAACCAAGTCATGGCCGAGTTTCACAGAAGAGCGGTTCAATACGGTTCAATGAGATTCACAGAAGTTGTCTGAATTCAGAAGAGCGCAAGAAGCGTTCAGATCTCCAGGCCTTCCAGGCTTCATCATCTTGATCCCAAATGGGGTCTTCTTCTAGGTGACTTAATACTCGACGTTGAAAGACACAGGAGCTATGGGCACACGGGCGGTTGGACTTCAAGGACGTGCGGACGTTGTCTTAGGGTGTGCGGACGTGAAACTACGGTCAGAACAAGAGATGACGATTTTACCTTCCTGGATGTTATTGTGGTAAGTTTGGTTCCAACCAGTCACCGACATGCACACAGTGAGGCGTGGCAACGCGAAGCTGCCTGGGTGTCAGAAGGCCAGGTAGTACGCGTAAGCATCACGAGAAATAATAGGTTGACATAAGTCAAGAGTAAGATTATATTCGACAGTCAGGCAAGTGAAGATTCGCCTGTCTCAACGACATGGAGACGGTCTTGAACAGTGTCTAAGCGTGTCTAAGCGTGTCTAAGTTACCTCTCTTCGTTTGCTGTTTTCTTGTCGCATGTGGCAGAGCTTGGGCGGCTGACAGGTTATGGAATGTCGGCTGAAACTGTGTGGGCCCAAGCTGCATTGTCGCCATATCCATCCTACTCAATGCTGTGGTCGTTTCCATGTTGCTCGAGCTTCTAATTGCAGCCAGCACCTGCTAGACCAGATAAAGGAAGATAGTGTGACACCTTGCAACTTCTTTGGGCTGCAGTTTTGGGCATGCACTTGGTCCATCTTGGTCCATTCATGTCCATTCAAAACAAGCTTTGTCGGGGTGTTTTGTGGTTGTTGGCCGTTAGCCGCTGTCAGCCAGCGGGTCAGCAATTGTTTAGAAGACTTGGGTACATTATGAGCATTGCGGGGCCATGTTGTTTTCGAAATGCCCCCTTGGGCGTTGCGTTTGAGTCTGATGATATGGGAATGTGCCTGGCTCAGTGTTCGTTTCGGGGCGCTTGGGCAGTTGACTTTGGAGACGCTAGCTTCTGCTAAAGCGGAAGTGCTGAGTAGACATTCGGACAAGTCAGTCAGGCTGAAAGTGGAGAACTTACAGTTTCATCTACAGTAGTTTTTGCTGATGGCCAGCAGGCTAATTGCATCAACCCGCCCCGCTCAAGGTGCAGCCCATTTTCGTGCTCAAGGGTTGCCGGAAGCACACCTGGATCGGACAAGCCATGGAGAACACTCCAAAGATCACGGGAGTTGCAGATGTTGATCTTGAGGCGGTGGAGTCGGAGGAGACTCGGGCGGAGACCATTCAGAGCACAGGGAAGAGCGAAATCGAGGGCCAGATCGATCATGTAGAGCCTGAGTGGCTTTGCTTAATGACTTAGTTGAGTTTGGATGCCACGCAGAAAGGACAGAAAGGATCAGAAAGGTATAAAGTTTAATAGAGTTTAAAGATGATGTTATGTTTTATAGTTTTATATAAGGTCTAATGGCAACGATGGTAACGGGTTAGATGCAAAAAAGGTAAGAAATGATGAACAAGAACGAACACAAAGAAGGAAACAAAGCAGAAGCGGTGCGGGGAGGTATGGGTCCGACAGGTATGAGAATTTGGTTTGAGGAGGTACGGCCTCGACTGCTTGACAAAACCGAAGTGTAGCAGATAAGGCATGACTGTGTGTCAGGTTGCTTTTGTGCCCCGAGGCAAGCACCAACTCGAATCATGATGCTGGTCATGCTCAGCATGTTTCAGGCTCGTGCATCCCAGCACCACTTGATCACGTTCTGTTGCGTGAAAGCACTTCGCCAAGATGGGATATACATAGCTAGTGGATACATGATGATATGTTTGATATATGATATATGATGTATATATAGATATACATATTGTCACAGTCGCAGGGCTACGCTTCGATGGTGGGCCCTTTGCAATCAGCCTACAAGCACGAGTTGGGTGTCAAACACGGCACCGCCAGTGCCCACATCTTCACTCAGGCAAGGCACGTCCGCATAGGTTTCCAGGTTGGTGCTGCACGGAATGTCGCGACATCAAAGGCAAAGCTGCTCGCCAAGGATCAAACACGCACAAAAGGTCTCAAAAGATCCTTTTGTTTCAGCGAAAGGGAGACATGCTAGTCAGCTAGTCTACACTTGACGCAGATTGACGAAGTGCTTGTGAACTCTCATCCAGGCAGCAGTCGGAGTGCATTATGGCAAGTTGATTGCCAGACTGGGGCACAATATCATTTTTGCATGCATCAGCCCACGAAGCCGCGTGATGATTGCGATGGTGTTTATGTGAGCTGTCTCAGAGAGGAACCTGTGTTCTTCCTTGTTGTGTGTCTCTCGGGACGCATGCCGAATCTTTTCTCCCGATATTGGTGCCACTCAGGTTCGTGGGCGTTTTGATTCCCCCTTTGCTGGTCTTCACCCTTGAGTGGCACTGGGTCTATTCGGTCTTTATTGCCTACATTCTCTCTGGCTTGGGACTTGGCATCTTCGAAGTGACTTTCCTCAGCGTCATCACACCATTGGGAAAGGCCGGAGGGTACTATAGCTCGGAACTTCTGATACAGCCCCATCGGATCCCATTTGCCAATCTGCCAGTCATAGCAATCTATAATTGGCGCTCCTTGCAGGCCACCAAGTCTTGGGCAATCATTGGTTGTCCTGCGGGCTTTGGAACCATCAACATCTTGGGCCTCACCTTGAGCATTTTGGATGCAAAATGGTGCGTAGGACGCACATGTGTTTGGAAGAGGCAAGTCAAAGCACAATCAACCTATACTGTATATATATATGTGTGTGTATAGTCCATTATAATCCTATATACATCAAACAAGTGCCCATACCAACAAGAGCCTATTTGATTTAATGAGCTTCGCTAGAGAAGCTCGAGGCTCCTTTGGGCTTCCAGTGGTGTGGCTCTATTGGCCGCTCAGCCAGCATGACTGTGAAGGTCTGAGTCGTTTACATGTTTCCTGCTGTGCAACCCAGTAGTACGATGTAGTACGGATGTCACAGTCAGTGTAGACTACCCTCATGTATAGTATAGATTGATGAATGAGCTCCATGCATGACGCCGCATGACGAGCTTTGCAGGTACATTGTGGCTTGCCTGCCCTTCGGTCTCTACTTCTTTTGGAAGTTTTCACCCCGGGAGAAGACTGAGCTGCGCACTGCCAACTTTGGTGCGTCCTTGCGGCAGGCCTGTGCGGACTTGCATTCCGGTAGTAAGAGTCTCTTTTGGTCTTGCATGTGAGGCGCGTCGTTGGATGCCGGGAATGGCACCCTTCTTCCTTGCGCAGTTCTTGAGCCACTTTGCGATGGAGAATTGGCCGGCCATCTTCTACATGTTCCATCCACCAAAGGCCATTAATTAGCCAGTTGACTAGGCTCTGATGCTAGGATACCGAAGTCGATTATCTAAAATCCATTAAAATCCTGTGGAGTAGTGTAGAATCAACTCACAGACATGACGCAGGAAGTTGCTGAGCTTATGAAAAGCAAGCTGAGAGGCAATACAATGAACACTGTCCTTGGCATGGGTTTGACTCTTTTTCCACCAGTTGTGGTTCACTGCAGGTGCCTCTCTTTAATCCTGAGAGCATCTCGGCATCACCACAGTTGAGGCTGACCTTCTTGGATCAGCAAGCTCAGACACATCTGAGGTTCAGACTACTTGATGGACTGGGGCCAGTTCTTTGCGAGCCTCGGCAAGGGATGAACTGATGGGATTTTATTGGATTTTTACAAGGCCTCGACCGGGCCCAGATCTTTGCAAACCGATGCGGTTGTGTTTCTTGCGATGTTGTGTGTGCATGCTTGTATCTACTCTTGTATCTATATAATTTGACGTTAACACATCATAACTTGATCGAATTGCTTATGAGGTTACGCAATGTTGCACGGACCCATGTCAACGTATTGCCTTTCCAGCCGAGGATCACCTACATTTTTATTTTCCTTGGTGACTCGATCAGTCGTAGGATCGCTATCTACATCTCCACGCCTTCTCTTCGCAAGAGGCTGGCACTCCTTGGCCTTGCAATGGGTCTGATCATCGCTGGTCTTTACCTGGAGTCCTTGGCTATTGCCATTATTATCCCGCTGGCAATCTTCATGATCTTCTGGGGTAATGGCACCATCTACGGGCTCACAGCCAATCATGTCGACAAACAGGTGCCTGAGTCTCCGTTCAGCTGCAAGCTGGAGACGTTCAGCTAAAGGTTTCTCACGTAAACAGACCCCCCGAAGTGCCGCCTGATGCCGCGCACTCATGACAGCAGTCTCCAACCTGATGGCAATGGCCTCCAACCTACTAGCGATGGCCTCCAACCCACTAGCTATGGCCTCCAACCTACTAGTACTAGCGATGGCCTCCAACCTACTGGCGCTAGCCTCCAGTCTCCACTTGCTTTTCATCCTTTAGCGCCTCGTGTTTGCCTTCAGCATGGGGCTTGGAGGGCCGGAATGAGCTTAGTTATATAGACAGAATTATAGACTATAGATGATTTCTTTCTTTTGGCATCCATGACAAAATCTCGAGCAAAAGAGTGAGGTGCCTCCTGAACACAATCTGGCCTCCTACTCTTGCTGGTGCTTCATCGGTGACTTGGGTGCAATCCTCGGTGGAATCTTGGTCGAAAACACCCATGACCTTTTCTGCCGTGGTCATCATGGGCCTTACGAGTGCTGAATCTCGCCCAGCTATCAACAGAAACATTGATGGCCAATTCCTCGCAGTCCGGGCAAGGCTCGGACTGGTGTTTTCCGGCCTCACTGCAGGCTCTAATTCGTTTTTGGGCAGAATCATGCCACTCATGTGGAAATTCAGAGCCAGGGCTACAGACTTTGAGCCAAGCAGTCTAGTGCTTGGCTGGGTAGGGCGGAAGACTGTATGCCGAGCGGATGCATGATTTGACAGCTTGTAGTGAGCGAAAGTGGCCAATCACATGAATTGTTGCCAGAAGCTCCTACAGATGGCAAGACAGCATCACTTGCGTTTAGCATCCGGAAAGTGTGCAGCAGGTTGCAATCTTAGCTACATGTCGGCACGCAGCAGCTAAAAAATCTCAAATAGGTCGTCAACATAGATAGGCTGTCAACGGAAAAGGCCTCCAGAAAGCCAGCAACGGAGGGTTTAGGTTCAGGCCAATTGGTTACGGTATAGAATCTGAAAAGGTCCTAGGAGGATTTTGTTTGCTAGTAGTAACAAGTGCCCCGGTGGTAGTAACAAGTGCCTTACTGGTAGTAACAATGTTTGCTAGTAATTACAATTCTAATTAAATTCTTCTTGTTCCTACTAGTAAGGCACTTGTTACTAGTAGCTTCCTTCCCCCCCCCAGGGGGTTTGTGATGAATCTTTTCCGCAGGGGTGCGGCAATCGGAAGACCTCCTGGCATTGCTCGGGCCTCATTGATCTGTAGGCCTAGCATGGCCTAGCTTCAAGCGGCAGTTGGTGCAAACTCCAAGCTTATCAACGTATGGGTGGACATTCTCCAGGCAGGCGTGGTGCACTTTTCGTGCAAATGACGTTCAGTGCTAGAAGCTGCGCATGTTCCCGCCAAGGAGCCAGATGCTGGCAAATTGCTTAGAAATGAATGCTTGGAGGGCATGTTTCGTTGCCAGGCTTATGAGCAAGAATGTAATATCAGTTGTAATATCGAAAGAAATGTTCAAGCAAAGCTTGCAACAGTGTCCTGAAGAGATGTTCACTTCGATCGTCAGATGTACTGGGAGCAAGAAGTGCGGGACAAGCGCTCGGAGTAAAAAATGTGCCAAACAAGGTGAATGCGCTGAAAGTATTGCTTGCACCTTGAAGGCCAGGAAGACTTCGAGAGCAAGCCACAAGAACAGTAAAACCACGTCTTACCTATGATACCCGCGCCCATATACCTGTGCAAATAGCAGCAGTTCTTCTTGTAAAGGAATCCTTTGTTTCGAGGTCCATTAAATAGGGAGTGCACGGTTACCTGAACCTCAAGTTATTTTGTGAATGATACGCATGGGAGAGTTGTTGCGTTCAATATTAGTATGCCTGAGGAGCTTGGATGAGTTTGTTGAAGCAGGGGTTGAACACTATTGGTCACTTAACCTGTTGATTCGCATTCTTGACGGCCCACTGAAGTAGGGAGCGAGCGCATCCGTATTTAGTTGTTGAAGCACAAGATAGCAGAAGATAAGGTTTTCGGATGTTTTCGGGAGGTTTGACCTTTCAGGCAACAGGCCTTGGGAGGCCGTAGCTTGATCTATACCTCCATCCTCACTAGGGCACCATGTTGGAAGCTGCAACTGCTCCGCAAATGCAGTGTAAGATTTGACTGCACCAAAGATTTGGCGAACACGGTGTTCGAACAGTGGTGATGCCCAGAATCTCCCGAACGGGGACGCTCACAGAGTACCACTGGTGCGGTTTCACTCTCCCGTCCTTCCGCACAGGCACTCTTCCCTCATGCGAAAGTGCGTGCAGGGTCAGAGGAGCGCCTCAACGAAGCGGTGGAGTTGACTGCCCACTGAAGTGCTGAGTTGTTCGTAGCTTGCTTTTGAGGGTTGGCGTACTCGTTTGAGATTTTTTGAGCATCGTTGAGTCATTGAGCTTTTTCCAGGAAGATTTGGCTGATGGCAGGGCGCTCGGTTGCTTTGATGTTGCCTTCCAATCCCTCTACTTATGCACCATAAATAAGGTCAAGTCACTGTTGGATGTTCGGCGACAATCACTGAAAATCCAAACGACGTGTCAGCAATTCCAAAAACTGCAGTAGGTGCACGACCCTGTTTTGGTTCCTTCTTCTTCCGGGCACTTACCCCAAACAATCCCAAACATTTCTGAAAACACTAATTTGGATCAACCCCGCTGCAAATTCATCCTTGAACTTTTTTTCACAAACGCCCAAGGTATAGAGAAGGAGGAGGCGCCTTTGATCGTTTGGCTTGCCCTTGAATTGACCGCATGTTGCACTCAATGCGTACGGTCATGAGTCATGTATGTATTGTTGCACCTCTGAGCGGCCGTTTGTGGCATCGTACCAACTCGTCATAACATCCCGAGAAAGAGATATTTAACCAATGGAGTTGGCGCCAGGTAGAGCGGCGTGTCCAGCTCTTGCAAGAAAGCACTAAGTCTGCACCCCAAGTAGCATAAGTCAGAGTAGATTGAATTGAGACAAGCGACTGAAAGTGGGCACGCCAGTGGGGCTATTTTGAATTCAAGCCTCGTTGTCCACCGCAACCTGTCAAGTTGACATTTTTGGAGGCTGGGCGGTACACATAGATGTTGAAAATGCAACCTCAAACTCTTCAGAGTTTTTGAGCTTTTGGTTTGGTTGCTTTCATTTTGCGCCTCCAGCTCAATGCCAAGGAGTGAGATAGACGAACGGGCACTGTCATCACTCTGGAGCCTTTCCGCCGCTAAAGCGTTGGAGGCCTTGCGCTGGCGCAGTCAGTCGTGCAAAAACGGTTCTACGGTGCTCAGCGCGCGACCTTTGCTAAATATGATTAGATATGTATGATTTCGGACACGTGTTGACTGTTGAATCTGGAGGTTTGTATTGTAGCTGTTGTCAGTCAAGCGAGACCTACAATGGATTAGCTGAGCTGGACTATGGAAATTTGAGACTGGGGGCATGGCAACGCCACAACGCCGCACAGGCTCTACAGCGAGTTGAGGAGCTAGTCGAGGCACAAGGTGGAGCATGTTCTCATCTCAGGAAAGGCAAGGGGTACACAATGCCCCCAGGAAAGCGAAGCAAGTCGCCGAGGCTAAATGATTGAAGGAAGGAAAACACTCATGGTTGTGTGTGATGTTTGTGCCCAATCCTTGAGTCGAGAAGTGTACTTGGGCCTAGGCAGAAACCTTTCATCTATGCTTCAGTCGGCCCTACCCTCGTATGCTGACCGATGAAAGTTTCGCGTGATACTGGAGCAAGTGCCAGGAGTTTGCACGAGAAGAGAATCTCAAGCTGCAGCAGAATCGGATACTAGCGGTTTTTGCGAAGCCGGTGATGCCACCAAAGGAACAGTACCAGGAGAGATCATCGAATCTCCCTCGCTGCAGGTGTGCAGAAAGATGGAGCGAAAGATGATCGCTGATGCGAAGGACGAAGACGTAAGACGTATCTTGTTTCTACTAGTAACAAGTGCCACGCTAGTAGTAACAGGTGCCTTACTCGTAGTAACAAAAAGCTATTAATTTGATCTAATTTTTTAATTTAATTCTAATAGCTTCTTGTTACTACTAGTAAGGCACTTGTTACTAGAAGCGATGCACTTCTTCCTAGTAGCTTCTTGTTCCTAATAGCTTCTTGCTACTACTAGTAAGGCACTTGTTACTAGAAGCGATGCACTTGTTCCTAGTAGTTTCTTGTTACTACTAGTAAGGCACTTGTTACTAGAAGCGATGCACTTGTTCCTAGTAGCTTCTTGTTCCTAATAGCTTCTTGTTACTACTAGTAAGGCACTTGTTACTAGAAGCGATGCACTTGTTCCTAATGGCTTCTTGTTACTACTAGTAAGGCACTTGTTACTAGAAGCGATGCACTTGTTCCTAGTAGCTTCTTGTTCCTAATAGCTTCTTGTTACCAGTAAGGCACTTGTTACCAGAAGCGATGCACTTGTTCCTAATAGCTTCTTGTTACTACTAGTAAGGCACTTGTTACTAGAAGCGATGCACTTGTTACTAGAAGCAATGCACTTGTTCCTAGTAGCTTCTTGTTCCTAATAGTTTTTTGTTTCTACTAGTAAGGCACTTGGTACTAGAAGCGATGCACTTGTTCCTAGTAGTTTCTTGTTACTACTAGTAAGGCACTTGTTACTAGAAAAGATGCACTTGTTCCTAGTAGCTTCTTGTTCCTAATAGCTTCTTGTGACTACTAGTAAGGCACTTGTTACTAGAAGCGATGCACTTGTTCCTAATAGCTTCTTGTTCCTACTAGTAAGGCACTTGTTACTAGTAGCGATGCACTTGTTCCTAGTAGCTTCTTGTTACTACTAGTAAGGCACTTGTTACTAGAAGCGATGCACTTGTTCCTAGTAGCTTCTTGTTACTACTAGTAACTAGTAAGGCACTTGTTACTAGAAGCGATGCACTTGTTCCTAATAGCTTCTTGTTACTACCAGTAAGGCACTTGTTACTAGAAGCAATGCACTTGTTCCTAGTAGCTTCTTGTTACTACTAGTAAGGCACTTGTTACT